AACCTCTTTTAAGAAATAAACCACAGATGAGACGTAATCACCCAACACTGATTACAGTTTACCAAAAAAAAAAAAAGCTATTACTAAAGTCAAATGGAACTAACAGACTAGGGGCAGCTGCATGTAAATGGGTCCCAGGATGTTTCCACACCGGTTTTTTTGCAGCGCGGCTGTAAGACAAGAGGCAATTGTGTGAACGCGACCCCCAAAAACCGCTCTGTGTCAAGTGAGGAACAATTCACATGGACGGACGTGTGAACGCAGCAGGAGATTTCCCACACAATTCACACCGAGCGGGTTCAAAATGATTGCTGCTGATTGGTGATTTCCACTGTTAATGCAAAAAAACAGAACTATCTAAGATTAGCAGAGGAAGAAAAAATGCAGTCTGGAGAATTTTAAAGGTGTATCTTGCCTCCAATGAGTTCTTGCAAGGCAAATATGTCCCGTTGTAAGTATACTTCTCAACTTTAGTTTAAGTATGAATATCCACACACAACAAGGAGTGACAATGTTCATGTTTTACTGATAAATTCTTCCTGTTAAACACACCATATTGTCTTTTTTTTTTTAAAGTGCATTGTTAGAATTTGATTAAGAAATATATATAGGGCGACATGGACATGAACATGAGATTAAAACTGAACATACCATCAGTGTCCACTGCTGTAAACATTAAAATGGACATAGAATTATGAGGCCAAACAGATGAATATTACAGTTACATGATCCTTTGATTCAAGTTTTACTCAGACTCACACTTTCAGTGTAAAAACTGCAGTTTTCAACTGCGATTCAAAACAAAACACACACATAAATTGAAATGAATCAGTCGTGACGGTGAGCTCAACCTTTTTCCATTCCCTGCCAAATGCTGTTTCTGTACTTTTTGCAGGGATTCTTTCAAGTTTTCAGAGGGCTGCAGCCCCATGAGTATTTCTTATCGGAGGGAAGGTGAGGATTGGAATTATTGGGTGAGATGGCAGTTTCGGTAAAAAGCCTAGCCGCTGTTGTGGTGTGTAAGCTGTGGGGGTGTTGGTGATCAGTCAAGAGAGTGGAAGGGGGGATCAGACAGAGGATGCTGGGATTAACCACTGGGCTTTGTCGGAAAGTTGTGAGTTTAATTCTCCAACAAGATAAATGTAATGAGAATTAGTGAGCAGTTCACACACACATTGTCAGAAACACGCTTGATGTAAAACTTCAAACAGGCTCCCTGCAGTGTGTGGGTATTTATTGTGGTTTTAAAAAGATGGTTGCATCACTTCCTTTGTAGTACTAAAAGGCAACACTTTGCAACCGTGACGGAAAATATCTGAGCAGAATAAGCTATTTTTTTATTTTAGAAATTACATGTTATATCGACTTTATTTCACATTTTAAAAAACGCCTCATACTTAATGAAGGCTTTTGAGAAAAAACATGCAGCCTGTTATTTATCGAGCACCACAATTTTTGTAAAGGACTTATATAAGACGTATAATTTTTCTAAATGGAATAAGTATATTCAAATTAAATAAATAGAATAGAATAAATAAATTATCAAAGAGATTTGGACAGAAACCTTGGGATAGCTATTTTTCATTCTGTCATTTTATAATTTTCAGTTCTCGTTTATTATCATGAACACTCTGCACAGCAAACTTGATGTTAAAACATTCAAGATGACTGAAAAGACAATAAGTCATCATGTTTCAGGTTATGACTTCTTCATCGGACTGATGGTTGTGTGGCAGAGGGTACAGAGGGCTGTGTAAGAGGAAGAAAGGAGTCCACTTGAGTAAGCAACTACTCGAGTTCATTTATAAATCAAAGAATCTGCTTTCGAAGAAAACTGGGACACTAACAACAAGCAAAGAATGCTAAGCAGCGGGTTTCTTCGATAAATACACACTTGTATGAGTTTTTTGTGAGAAACGAGGCAATGAGGGTGTAAAATATTCATACCGTATTTAAATTTGGAGACTTCACTGCGCCAAGAAAATGTATTAAAAAATGGAGAAGAGATGGGCAATAAAATGAACTATTGATTCCATCTATCAGCCTGTTATCATCCCTGCATCCACTGTGCGTTAAAACCTCACTGACTGATGGTTTCCGAGCAGAATAAAGGACTAATGAGACCTGCCTTACTGTGGAGACAGAAAAAAATATCAAATTATACTAACAGGACACCAGGCACAATATCACACAGATAACATGGAGGACTGTTTCCCTAATCCTTTAATACAGGTAAATTGCTGTAAATCAGTTGCTAAAAAAGCACTGGCTTAAATTGGCCAGCTTCCTTGCTTTTTGCTTTAGGTGATACTCTGTCTTTACCTTATCTCCCTCAGGTGCCATCTGCTTATTACTCTTTTGAGCTCACCTTTTTCCTCAGATTGCTTGAGTTTTGATTTTCTTAATTAGCTTTAAAACATGTGACTGATGTAAACTGCTATGTTATGTTGCATAATGATATATATACTGTATATTGGCATGATAGACTTTGAATGAGCATTTGATGTAATGTTCCATTGAATTGCTTTCTCAATTTCAAACTGAAAGGTTACAGCTGCTATAGCCGACCAGGTTACGTTGCTTGTAAAGCTCATAAGCCCATTAGATAAAATGAATCGCACAACATTTTTCAGTTTTTGTTTTCACACTGCAGCAATGCAGCCTCCATCTTTGTTTCTGAGTATTACTATTCAGACTGAATGCAAGTTTTTCTACATTTGAACAAACAAAAGTCTTCCTTTGTCCCTGGTGTGCCTCGTATCATTTGCAATTGCAGCATATCAGATTATGAATTTATGATAGAGGCTCCTGCAGTGCCTGCAACACTTTAAAATTCACAGTAAATGGGCCAGCTTAGAAAATGCGTTTCAACGGTAGAATAGCACATAAAGCCATGAAAGTGTCACAGACTCCTTGCTTTCTTTTTCAGTACTTCTTTTTATGTTTTTCCAACAAATAAAAATCTAAAACAATAAATGATAATAACATGATATTTATCACTTTTTTGGGAATAATTATGCTTTCTAAAAACAGACGGTTGAGTTAAACATAGTTATCTTTTGTTGTAGATGGTCGTGGCAATAGTTTTGAAAGTTTTACAGAAAATGGTGAGATCTGCAATTTCATGTAACTTGTTCTTTTTGTCGTTTTCTCACGGAGGCATGTTTTAATTGGCACTCCTGCTTTAAAGTCACAGTTTCACTCACACCATTTCACATGTTCATGAAATATTTTCCTTTCTAATTATATTTTGTGAGTAAAAGCACTTGCCAAGTGAATGAGTCTCAGTATGTAGAAAAGGCACTTCTCAATTGTTACTATTTACAGATCACAATTAACTCTAAAATGATGTACCTAATCTAAATGATCAATATTCTTGCTCCCATATTTACAAACATGGCTAAATTATACTACAGGTTGGAAAAACAATCAGTGGCTTCTTATTTTATTATTATTTACATTAGTACTGATATGTCAATATAGTAGTCAAGTCAACATATCTATCATATTTTATAAACTTGAATACTTTACATTAATTCAGAAAAGCTGTTTAAATAGTATCTGATTGTTTTGTAGTGGGTGAATCATAAGTTACATTCCTCGTTAGGCATCATTTGTTTAGAGCCATTCGCAGCAAATGCAGCTGTGTGCCACTAATCACTTCTTATCATTGATGTTTAGCTAACACCTCCTGTCATACTAAGGGCCTCTGGCTTCAATAGTAGCAATAATAACACTCAGATATAATCATATGTCACTTGATCATTCTTATTCCTGTTATTTCAAAGAGTCATGGCAAAGACTGCGCATCTTTCAAATGGGGTACCGCAGGGCTGTATACTGGAACTCCTTCTCCATGCAAAGGGTTGTGGTTGTAAAACTACTCGTATTACAATTATTCACATGGAAACAAAGTTTAACTTTCCTAACATTAACATTTATCCTTTCAGATGGTCCCAAAGATATAACCCCCATTACTTTAGTTACTTCATAGAGATACTTCACACAAGACAAGAGAGTAGTGAAAAAAATCAGGTCAAATCAGCTACAATATGCCAATCGTTTACTTGTTTATCTCTCACTTAAGCTACTGCAATGTTCTTCTATCTTGTCAAGTGTAACCTCTACAGATGGTCCAGAATGTGATGCATGATCAGTGAAAAGAGGCCACCGTTCCCATTATTACTCATTCAGCTCCACTTGCTACCAGTGGCTGTCCGGATCAAATTCAAGTCACTAACCTGCAAAAAAGATTGACTGCAGGATCTGAACCCAGCTACCTAAACTCAGTCATGCAGATTTATAGCCTTTCTTGACCACGCTGTTCCCTCCATAAACAATACCCGGTACTGCAGTCCCCACACAAATGACAGTCCTGACTGATTTCACTTTGGCTTTTATACTCGTAGATTAAGCTAAATAATGCCAACAAAGCAGATATGTCCTTGTTCATCTTTTAGAATCCGAAGACTCATCTCTTGCTTAAATATCTCTGTTAACACCTACCAAAACTGAACTCAGCTTATTTTACACCTTTTCTCAGCACATGTTCTATTTATACTCTGTCCTGTGAACAGTCTGTGGCAGATTTATCAATCAATGAGTGATCCATGGATCTAAAAGCTAGAAAGTGTTGAATTGTTGAGATCAACAGCCCCACTTTTGGTTGGTGTTTCTTGCAAAAAAATTGTTTCATTTGTCCAGGGAGAATCAACTGCAAGAACATGAAATGATTAACTCCACCAAGTGTAACCCCCTCCTTCATGACTCATATTTCAGAAATGCCACAAAGAGAACATGTACCTGTACATTACCTGTTCTTAAGGCACATCCTGCTCTTGCAGCTTTATTATCGAAAACAAAAAAACGTGTGTTGTTTGCTTTGTAGATAGGTTTATGCATATGGTTTTTCAACTCAATATACAGTATATTAAGTCAATATATTGAAAATCAGGTGTGCATTTATGCACATAAAAAACTTTTTTTAAAACTATTTTAACCACTCTGTTCTTTTCGAGAGCATTTCTATAAGAAAAAAAGACAGAAAAGGATTTCTAACCATGACCTTTAAAACAAGATATTCTGTAGATTTAGCACAAAAACAAATACTAAATGACTGATTTAGTCAGTCATTTAGTGTTTTAGCTGAAGAAAGCAGCTATTCTTTGTATGCTCACACATCCCTCAGGTAACTTTTACATTATCTCAGACAAGACTTTCTTCTAGCCCACAGACAACTCAGAAGCGTTAAACAATGCTGTACAGACCAAAAAGAAGCCAAATACTTCAAATCCACATACAGTAGCTCTCTACTACAAAGATGAATAAACAAAAATGAATAAATAAATGAAAACCGTGACTATTATTCTTTAGTTTGTATTGTGTTATATCACTGTCAATAGTAGCTTCCGAGAGATCCTTCTTGAAAATTGCAAAGCCTAATTAGGCCAAACCAAAATTCCAAGTTAACTATTTCTTTTTTATTTACTGTTCTTTGCTAAAATCTGGCAACGATCTGAAATCCTTAAAAAGAACAATTAAGGTTTCAAAATCTGTGAAGGTTTCTTTGGCGAGATTACAATATTACACACTCATACTTACTTGCATGTGACGTCTTTATATTAAATAACCTAACTGCCTCTATTCCATAAATGTCGTTCCTGACTAAAAGGTGACAGCTGAATTCGGACTTCACTTTTAATTGGAGAACCTGCTGTTCGACCTGCTCACTACACCCAGACATGGGAAATGTAACTTACCCATCTGAATGAAGTCACTAACATTGATCATATGCGGTCTGGACTGAAATTTGGTTGTTTTCAATCAATGATTAACCCAGAAGTAATTAATCCTGTTGACATTTGGACTTCGGTTATATAAGTGATATGGTTAATGAGGACAGGGCTGTGACAAAAACATGAACAACCTCCCGGCCTGGATGGAATTTAGTTACCTTGAGATCTTCTGCCTTGGGAGGCTCATTACAAACTCTTTGACAGAATTGATCTCTGTGGGGAGATTAAGTTTTACCTCAGAGTCTCCAGAGTGAATACAGATACAGCCATCCTTTCATTTGCTCTAGCTGCTTTAAACTCTGTGTGGCTGGGAACATGATGTCTACAGGGCCAAAAGTAGGCTACACCTAAGACAGGGCACTGGTCAGTCACAACCAACAAAAATGCTTACACAAAGCTGGTCTATTTTGAATACTAGTTAGCCTAATACACATGTTCCTGATGGGATTCAAACCAGAATCTTTTTTCGTGTGAGAAGTATTCCAACCAGTTACGTATATCATCAAACAGCCCAGGATGCATACAACAAAGTATTCATTTCCGTGGACCAAAGGGATGTTTTCCTGATAAAATGTTTTAAAAACTGATATCTATTCTGAGCTATAATCCAGAAATTGTGTGGATCATGTTTAATAAATATTGGGAACTCACAAATTATAAAAAAAAACAACTTTACTATAGAATCAGGGGCACAGTTTATTGACAGTGCTACACTGGTCATAAGTAGTTCATCATGGGTCAATTCAACTGAGCTTCCTTTTTTTTAGATATTCCATGCAGATTTAATCAAAATTCGCAGGCCAAGTTTATTTGTATGGCACAAGGGCCACTCATAGTCCTTTAAAAAAGAGAGGCGAGTTTAATTGCTTCTTTTTCTCAGACAAAAATACATGAATCTACAGTACGTAGGCTCACATAAATCACGGCTGGGTTTATCACAGACTGACATGATTATTTCATCTAAATATAAAGGATGAGTCCCATTCTGACATCAGTTTACCATTTTCTATCCGTTTTAATGTCTCTCAAATTGTTTTCTTTCTATTTTCCTAGCTCAGTTTCCTTCCTACCTCCATTTCTGTCTCGTAACCGTAGCAACAAGGATTAAGTTGGGCTGTCAAAGTCAGCAGAGGGGTGAAAAAAACTAATAGCGTAAAGACTGCGGAAATAAATATGGGAAAGAGAAGGAAGGAAAAGAAGAGGAACAATTAAGACAGAGGAGAGTCTAGTAAAGACATGAAACACACCCGTTAGATACACAAAAATAAGAATGATCAAAAGAACAAGTTGGCTTCTTTTTAGACCTGTGGAAACAGAAGAGGACTTGCCTATTGACAGTGCGGCTTATGTAACTGCATGGATGTGTACCATAGATTCTCTAAATGTCTATATTATTTTACAGCCCTTACGTGTGCTATTTTTTTCTATTCTTTTCTATGTTCTATTCAAATAAGAATGTACCACGATAATACTGATTGAGCAACATTTAATCCATTCTGTTTTTGTTAAGTTCCCTCTAAAACATTTTTTTCCCCATAAATAATGGATAGCTTGAAGAAATACCCAGGTTGGCATTGTCAGTTAGGCCAAAGAGAGACAGACACAATGAAAACTGGCAAGAAGCCCAAGTGAAATAGTTCAGACGCACACACAGACACACACAGACACACCCAAACAGTTACAAAAGACTAATGAGGCTAACAACAAAAGGAGGGAATGGACTAAATCTATGTGGTCCACTCAGAATTTATGTTCATTTTACAAAAAATGTTAATACAATTTATTGCATTTTATTGCATTTATTAAATTTGTTAATGCATTTATTTAATTGACACATTTTAGTTTTACAAGACAGATCTTACAACTCATCATATGTGGTGGCTTGAAGAGACTTTGAAAGCAGGGTTTGCGTTTACCGAACAAAGATATACATGATAATATGTTTAATAAGAGTTCTAATATTCACTTACAAAATTCAATATTTTTTGTGTACTTGAAAACATTTAAAAGATTAAATCAACACATAAATACACTTTTGAGTCCTAAGGGTTTCTCTGTAAATCACTGGGTTTTTCTTGTTTTCAGTAAGAACGCACTTTGTATCAATGACAAGTGCATTATTTCCAATGAATGTTTAATGGCTTTTGACGCATGCTTCATGAAAATTTCAAGGCTGTGGTTCCATGTATTATAATGCCTAAATTAATCCTACCCACTTTTAAAGACATTTGAGGACCAAAAAATTCTAACAGTAACAATGTATTGCTGTCTCACTGTACATCTTTGAGCTAAAAGGTTGGAATTATGGACATGTCAAAGTTCGCTATATAATTGTTTATTTTGTTATAAATTTCACTCAGTAACATCTCCATAGATTATGGTTCAAGAAAGTATCCAAACTGATAAGTATAATATTAAGAGACTGTTTAAGGGTATAATACAGACATAGTTAGCAATGATAATAAGTTAGCATAAATTGCAATTGGCATTGTGGCATGTTGGTTAATACAATCAACTCACAGTGGCAGGGTTCCTTATTCAAATCCCCAAGAAAGTTTCCCTTTTGGACTCTGTTTTGAGTCTCCTTTTGGAGTCTATCATGGCCTTTCTCTGGCTTCCTCGCACAGACCAAAAATGGGTCAAATTGGAAACTGAAAACTGTCCCTGAGAGCAAGAGTTTAAGGTTGTTTGTCTCTGTGCGGCCCTTTGGTGATGGTGACCTGCTGATGGGATCAGCTCCATCGTCCCTATCAAGAATAAGCATTATAGACAATAGATGGATGTGCACTCACTTTTACATCTTAATGAATCCAAACCTCTTGGTTTTTTGGCAAAACGTAAAATGGCCACAAAACTACAATAATTTGGACTTTATTAGTGAAATGCCTCGAAATGATGGCACCATTTCAACAAAATTATGTTTTTGCTATTTTTTTCTTACATATATTTTAGATATACCATTTAAAAACAATACATCCTATTCATAAAGAGAGGGCAGATCCTCCATCCATCATTGTCATATTAGCTCTTTCTTTTTCAAACTCCTGCCAGCTCATTGGCCCCAATAATCCTCTGTTTCCTGTTTAACTGCAGAGATTTATTTTTGGGCCTAACTTTTATGCACCTGGTTGAGTTTGTGCTCTTGCGTTATGATCCGTATCTCTGCGGCTTTGATTCAGTCTCGCCGAGCGTGAATCTTTGTGTCTCTTTGTGTTCGTATATAAGCGCGCACAATGAAGAGAGAATGGAAGGAAGGTTGCCGACGATATTGCTAATGTGGCATCACGCCAATCTCATTAGCTTAGCATGCAGTGGGCAGCCTGCCCGGATAGACACTGTGTGTGTGTGTGTGTATGTGTTTGTGTGAGCATATGTGTGTGTGTGTGTGTGTGTGCCTTTGTGTGTCTGTGTCTAGGCGCATCAGGGCCAGTAAATGCCACCACTCTGGCTGATGGTTCCAATAACGGTATTAGAAAAAGAGAGAGAGCGATAAAGAAAAATGTGTATGTGATGGAGGAGAAACCGAAAGATATAGATGAAAGCATGAAAACAGAATTTTTCCCAGAATAACATAATTCTGGAGGAAGAATGTATGGAGGAAGAATGTCAACTTTTGTATGTCATCAATGTATAAATTGAGACTTGTACAAGTTGCTTTTTTAAAATTTCTTAACCATATTGTAACACAGGTATTAACGTGCCTGATAAAGCTAAGTGCCTGACACTGGAACCTGTGTGTGTGTCTGCATTATTGAATGGTTGTGGGTGTGGAAGACGGAGAACAAGCGAGAGACGGGGGATAAAAAGTGACTGACTGTGTAATTGGTGGTTTGACATTAGCTGTCTGAATCACTACTATATCCACTGTGAGGGAGGGAGGGTAAGACGGAAAGTATGAGAAGTGTGGTTGCAAGTGTGTGTGTGTATTTACGTTTGTGTATGAGAAGACCGCATACAAACTGGAGAGAGTAACCGAAAAAGCTAAAAATGTCTTAAATTCAACTCAAAGCTCCTGAGCGCTCTGTGTATTGACTCAAAACTTACCCTTTTGCCAGCAGAAAGTAATTTGACAATAATCATGGCAAGTAAAGTTTTGGTGATTTGAACATTCTAAAATTGCCCTTATGAGTGAGTATGCAGAGTTGCGTGTCTCTGTGTGGCCCTGCGATAAACTGGCGGACCGTCCAGGGTGGCCCCCGCCTCTCGCCCACTGACCACTGGGATAGGGTC